CACGAGAAAAAAAAAATCGTATTACCCGCACTGTAAGACTCGAACTCACGATCATTATATCTTCAATCCAGCAATCATACCACTATACCACGAAGTCTTGGTCATCAAATGGATAAAATTAAGAAAGATTGTTGAATTTTGAAAGAATTTTAGAAGAAAAATTAAATAAATATTTTCAACATTTTCAATATAAAGGCCACCTTTAACCAAAATTATCTAAGCGTAATGAAGTGCAGTCAAATCGAAATAAAATTATTCAGAAGTTGTTTTTTTCTGGTTAATTGTGGTCTTTTCTTACAGTTTATCATTTTTTAAGGGGGTACCTCAGTATTTACAATATTCTCCATATAAACTGAACGATTTTTATATCTATCATATAAGGAAACTATTAATAATTGAGTGTTATTTTTGTGTGAGTTGTTTTAAGGCAGGTATAAACTAACATTGTATAACAAAATATTGGTTTAACAAAGTATTTTAAAATCACTACTAGAGTAGGCGAAAGTGACTATCAAATGCGCTATGGCTCGTTGAATCTACACTTCCGAAGAATAATTTTAACTTAATTTGACAATTAATTGCTCTGCTGTTTATAAGATTATCCTTTGTATGACTTTGATCCTCTGTTCTCCTGGTTGATCTTTATTTGAACACATTCAAATCTACATTACATTTTTATGCTTTAATATTCGATGAACAACCATGGCTTTGTTGTTCTTGTGAAGAATTTAAATGATTTTCACATGTATCAATACCTAAAAACTTGATCACCCAGTATGGCGACACTCAACCCCAGATGGTCATAATTTGAACACATTTGAATATACGCTTCCTGATAATGCTTCCATATAAATATGACCAATCACAGCTTTGCTGTGTTTTAAAGATTTTTCTATGTAACCTTACTTAAAACTTTGATCAACTATTAAGGTCACATCCTTGTCCCAGGGGTCATAATATGAACAAACTTGAATGCATTATACAAGAGGATACTTCCATATAACTAAAACATATCATTGATTGGCTGTTGTTGAGAAGTTTTTTTCCCTCTTTATTCTGAAACGGAAATTGTTTTGAGATTTTGTTTCGTTTTAACGTTTTACCTACGTTATTATATAAATTCTTAAACACTAAAAAATATTACAAGTAATTCTCAGATCACAAAAGTAGTATGAAACTGCCTGTGTACGGAGCTGCACTGAGGTATTACATGTTGTGTTACGGAAACTCAGGGGACCTCCCTGGTGACGGAGTGGATAAACATTAGTTTGTTTCTTCTCTTGCATACGGTCGTAAGACCTGAATAAGGCAGACGGATGCAGGGGATGAACAGCTAAGTGTTTCACAGTACACCAAAGCACGTAAGACCTGAATAAGGCAGTCACTTGATTGTAGAGAGAGGTGGCATACCACAATTAGAGCCAAGAAGTGCCAAGATGCAGCAGTACTAGTTGAGAGGCAGGGCAAGAAGAAAATTACTTGCGAGAGACACCCGTTGACCACAGTTAGTGGTTGTCCAATCAAGAAGAAACCCATTGTATTTGTATATATTTGATTATAATCGTATTGGTCAACAAAAATCTGAATTAACAGGTTAACGAACCCTAGTGTAACGCCTCGGTGATATAAGACAATCACCACACACCCAAGCTCGGCCGCGTTGCACGTTACAATTCCTATGTGAAGCTTCGATAACCCATTGTAGCCCCGACCTACTTCGGGGATGGGTGTTTGGGTTTATGATGTGCTAGACTACCAGAGGTTGCTTTCATATAACTACATGTGTATGACAAAACGTGGCTCTGCTTTTCTTGAAATGATTTTTAAAGATTTTTCCTATGTATTCTTGTGTTTAAATGTGATACCCCTTTGTGGTTTCACCCTACCTTTTGGCGTTTGAACAAGCTTAAATTTTCACTACCAGAAGGTGCTTCTACATGAGTTTCATCTTTTCTGGCCCAGTGGTTCTTGAGAAGAAGAATTTAAAAAATACTTTTCCCATATAGTCGTATGTCAAACTTTGATCCCCCATTGTGGCCCCACCCTTCTCCCAGGGGACATGACCTCAATAAACTTAAAACTTCTGTACCAGTGGATGCTTTCACATGAGTTTCATATTTCCTGGCTCAGAGGGTCTTGAGAAAACGATTTTTAAAAGATGGCATAAATTTTCCACTAATTCCTAATTATCTCACCTTGGAAGACGGTATGGTCATTCATTTGAACACACTTGATGCCCTTTCTCCCATAAATGCGTTGTGGAGAAGGTGATTGAAATTGGCCCAGTTGTTCTTGAAAAGAAGATGAAAATGTGAAAAGTTTACGACGACAACGACGACAAGGACAACAACAACGACAAAGGAGAACAACAACGACTGACAACCGGCAAATTTTGGTCAGAAAAGTTCACTTGAGACTTGAAAGATATACATGTAGCAATTGAAGCAGTTGTTTGTTATCTGACATGATTTTTTCTTAAAACAGCTAAATTACATTTAAACTATACATGTACTGAAAACATCCACATGACTGGCAAACTGCATGTCATGTTTTTACAGATATCATATCCTTTGGCTGTTTTGTGCGGAGTAACTAAATAATTCTTCGGTCTGAATTTACATTCTACAAGAGATCATACCATGCCAGTAAGTATAGAAATTGAAAGTTATATCCGCAATTAAGTAGCATTCATGTCGAGCTAATTTTCCAAAACTATATAAAAACTATATAAAAAAATGATGCTGACTACATGTACAATGAGAAGCTTCTTTGTTTTTTATTAAATTTGGCACTGTCTAGTATAATCACTGGCAAGCCTAATGAATTATGTGTAACTTGGTTGCTAAAAAAAACACAAACCTCATAATTACTCAAATTAGTCCTAATAAATAAGTAAAGTAAATTCTCCTTATAATATATACTTGTAAAACCGTCTCTTGACATGATGCAAACATGACGAGGTTGACCCATTTTATTATCTGTACTTACAGTCACAAAGAAAGTTTTATTTTGATGAGCAAATGTTTATGAGCTGCACCACTCTGAATTGGAGGTTGCAGATCTCAAATTTGATTGCTTCGATACGTATGTCATTGATGTATCAATATCAGATTTTCTCAGCCTAACTAAATAATATCAAGATCATTCTATTTGTTTTGTATAAAAAAAATGGGGTTTTCCTGTAAATTAATACACAATTTAAATCAATAAATTGCGTTTCACAGATGTCCTAGATTTAAAACGATAACTGAATTTTTTTTTCAACTCGGCATTAAAATAGCAGCACTTTAACTATAGAGACGTTTTGGTATTTAAGTTGAAAATTTAATTTGGACGTAAAGAGCAAATATCATGTAAATCTACACTTATTCTCGAACTTTACTTTTTGCTCAAATACTTCATATATAGATTTGCTTCATAATATTTTCACTATTAAATGTAAATTTAAGGAATATCTGTATGCCAAGGACATCAGCGATAGTTGAAAATGTTGGATAATACATACAGAACGTGTTTCGCTAATTAATAATATGCAAATAGCATACCAAATTTCCTGTTTCAATGAACTAGTGAGAAGTAATAATGTAGAAATACAAAAATCATTATCAAAATTTATAAAGAATTTATTTAAAACTGTCTGTCCTTTTTGAATCCTTCGTGTGTTTTATATATTGCTGACTATATGTTTTTCTCAGTCTTTTCTTTTTTCTTTATATATTGATTTATTTCTTGACCCTTGACTGTAATTTTTGTTTGTACATTGTATATATACATGTATGTACCTCTTGTACCAGTGATCTGGTTTTGAGCGAATAAAGAATTGAATTGAGAATTGAAATTGTTACATCTATATATAATTGATGTTCTGCCATACTGTAGAAACTAGGCAATGATTTCTTAATTACTAGTTATAACGACAACATATAGATCTATATACTAGTATTACATGCAACAAAGAAAATTGGCTGTGTAAATTCAATTTTGATCAAATCAAAGCCCCTGTGCGATGGAGAAACAAACGGAGATCAATGTTTTAAAAAAATCTTTTAATTGCAACAATACCTCGATTATCCAAATCAATTTATGCAAAATCATTGCAGCCCGGAGGATTTGGATGCTTTATACATATAAGTTTATGTTTTGGTGTATGGAATTGAGCTGGGAGAAGTTATACAGAAACTTCCTCCAGTAATTCGGATTTAATCTGCTCAACCATTCAATACTCTCTCCCTTCTGAGGGTAGGATTGAACTGCAAAAGGAAGTTTAATAAAGGAACACTCTTTGAAAATCTTCTCATGTACAACAGTAAATTGATATGAAGGCAAACTAAGGATGTGTTAATTCAAGTTTGTTAAAAGTTTTACTCCAATAGCAGCAGAGGGGAACACCCCATGAGGATTTTCATCGGAATATATATGAAAAAAAATCCTGAAGTTTTTTCCCTTTTTAAAATCAATGCCATTTATTTGATATGCAAGAATCTTTAGTGGCTGACAATTTATTCATATCAAGGTTCTCAGAAATAAGTTCGGGCTCCTCGTTTATTACATTTTTCGTTGTTATTACATCCATTGTACATTTCGCATTGTAACAGGGCTACAAGGAGGGATCCAAGATTTCAATTACAAGGAATCGTAAAGAATGGATTTTTTAAATGATTTCTTTTGACCAACAGATGTGTAAAATCAAGTGATACATCAATGACATACTTATTAAAGCAATCATTTGTCCTCGAGGTCAAAATGCGATAGCCCGTAATTATACATGTAACAATTCTTTTCGTACAATGTACACAATTGCGTCATGAATATATAAAATATAATTCGATAATGTACTATCGCTTTAAAAAAAATACAGCTATGTTGATAGTATTGTAACAATAACAAGCAAATAATTTTTTAACTTAAAGTCATATATATTCTTTAATGTAAATTGCAAATTATAATAAAATTTATGCATACTATTTGGTACAAAGATAAAATTAGGAAAAATATATATATATATATATATAAAAACCAGTAAACAAAGATCCCGTTACTATATCATTTTATAATCAATGTTTGTTAAATTGTTCAAACATCGTCTGTATTACTTCTCTTCAATTCAGAATGTTCTTCTGTATCTGTAACATCAAAAATCAATTGCTTAAAAGAGGGGATGACATCACTTTAACATTGATTTAGCACTACATGGACTGTTGCCATAAAAAATCCAGGAATGTTTTAGGAATTTAAGTCCCAAATAACAAAGCACCTTTTTCTTAGAACAGAATAAAAAAAACCTCGTATTTATGCAATAGATTATGTAAATTATCAGTAGTTATTGTCTTTTTTTTATTCAAACAAATTCTGAATCGAAACATTTAAACAAAGGAATTTTTCGTTGACAAATAATTTAGAATTGCCATACCCTTCTATAAATATAATCAAGAAACCGATGGGCATCTTCGATCATCTAAACATTTGACCCACGAAAGAAGATATAAGCTTATTTAAAAAAAATCAATAAACAAGTGGTCGTACATATGTAACCTAACCCTGTTCTTCCTAGGGGATCATTAATTGAACAATCTTGAATATGCACTATTTGAGTATGTTCCGATATACATGCATTTCTTTGACAAACCATGGAGCCCATTGGTGCTCCAAAGCAACTTGGGTCTTCACAAAATGAAGATGCTTTGGTATCAAAATGACTAATCATGGCTTTTTTCTTGAGAAGAAATCTCTAAATGTATTCCTCAGTTTATGCATAACATCAATTTCCTGTTGTCTCCCAGCCCTATATCCTGCTGAATTTATTTTTACAAACGTGAATTTAAACTATATGAGGATGTTTAATATCTCATGCATATGACCTACTTTGGCCTTGTTGGTCTTTAGATTGCTTGTATGTAGTTTACGTCTAATTCGAGATAAAAAAAAATTTCATCCCAGATATAAGTTTGATATCCTGTTGTGGCCAAATCCTAACCTCGAAGGTCATGTTTTGAACAGATTTGTATTTATACTACTGTACGAATATGATTTATAATCATTATGGCTTTACTGTTCTTGAAAAATTTGAACACAATTTCTTTATGTCCTTATGTTTTAACTATGATCCTCTGATGTGTCCCAAACCTCCTCTCCACTAGGTATCCTTCTTTGAACTTGAATCTATTCTTTGTATTATATATATGTAATTTTTATCTTTTTCGACAGGATGGTTATCTTTCCTTGTTTGTTTAAAGATAATTTTTATTCATATTGATGATGAATTTGTATTGAACCAAAACAATTGTAATGAGAACATGTATTCTGATATTTTAACAAGATCCACGATCTTTGAAAAGTGTAATATACCATTAGAAAGAACTGTTAAAGACACCACGGTAAATAACTATGGACATAAATTAATTTTTGTAGGAATAATGAAATGTATATTGTAAATAGCCGTGTAGGCAACAACAAATTTAAGGGAGACTTAACTTGTAAAAATAGCAGCACTATAGATTATGTTTTAGCCAGTGTGCAGATTTTTGATTTGTTTATCGATTTTGACGTTGTCGAATTTTGTAATCTATACTCTGATGTACATAATGCCTTATCAGTATCTTTATATAGTTGTAAGAGTGTTATTTTAATGACACAGGTGTAAATCACTCAGGTGTAAAATTATGGTGTCCTAACAAATCAGCAGAGTTCTGTTGTAATATTTAAACACTTGCGGTAAATAACATTGAAAGTAAACTTGATGAATTAGGCGGTGATAATACTCATGTAACAAAGGAAAAGATCAACCTTGTAACACGTGATATATGTGACGTGTTCTTAAGTGCAGCAAAAGAAACATTTGGATATCACAAAGATAGAAGGGCTGGGGTTAATAATAATTGTAATAAACAATGGTTTAATCGGGACTGTAGAAACGCTAGAAAAAAGTTTCATCTTGCTAAACGTATGTATAATCGAAATAAATCGACCGAAAATAAGTGTAATTTGAATGTTATGAGTAAAATGTATAAGAAAACAATGGATGAGAGCATCAAAAATGATAGAAAGAAAATTGCCAAAAAACTCAAATACTTGCATTCTACAAATCCCAAAGATTACTGGAAAATTTTGAATAGATCTGATAAAAATAAGAAATGTGCTGTCGATATAAATGACATGTATAATTTTTTGAAAGATATGAATGACGATAATAATTGTAATGTTGCACCTAATAACTTAGATGAACAGGAAGATGTAACAAATTTTTCAAATGATTTCTCATTTGATATCCTGAATTGTGCTATCAGCGATGAAGAAATACTGAAAAGTGTCAAAAAGCTTAAAAATAACAAAGCATGTGGTTTTGACAAAGTGTTTAATAAACATATAACTTCAACAATTACTATATTTCTACCCGTTTACAGAAAACTGTTCAATTTAATATTTGACTCAGGTACCGTACCGGATGAATGGTTGATTGGCATTGTGAAACCCATTTATAAAAATAAAGGTGACCCAACACAACCTGAAAATTATCGACCCATAACATTATTGAGCTGTTTAGGAAAATTATTTACAAGTATTTTATGTACACGATTAGAAACATTTGCTGAAGAAGTAAATTTAATTAATGAGAGTAAAACAGGGTTTAGAAAAGGGTACTTAACTTTAGATCATATACTGTAAACGTATTATATTTAGCGGTGTATTCTATTTAGCGATTTTGGCGGAAAGCAGAGTCTGCTAATTCAAGTACATCGCTAAGTGTCTTGTACATTAACTTTTATAACTTGCAAATTCAGACAGAGCTAAATCAAATCTACGCTAATATGTTGAAAATTGAATTTCCGCCAGATATCGTACACGCCAAATGTAATACATTTACAGTAGTTACCTTACAGTTTTTATGTCAGATTTTTTTTCAAAGAAAAAAGAAACTTTTCTGCGCATTTGTTGACTTTAAACAAGCTTTTGATACGGTTTGGAGATTTGTGGCATAAGCTATTTAAGAGTGGAGTCAGTGGCAAATGTTTTAACTTCATCAAAAATATGTATATTGGAATTAAATCTATGATAAATTTGAATGGTACAACCACAGATTACTTTAATTGTAACGTTGGAGTTCGCCAGGGTGAAAATCTATCGCCTTTTTTATTTTCATTATATATTAATGACCTGGAAGAGTTTCTCTCTGACAGAGGTTTTATTGGTTTACAAAGTATAACTGATGCTATTGAAGAAGAATTATATGTGTATCTTAAGCTTTTCATTTTGTTATATGCAGACGATATATACTGTTATCATGGCTGAAACAGATGTGGATTTGCAAAAGGCTCTAGATGATTTTTTATTTGCATTGTTCACAATGGAAACTCAATGTTAATGTTAGTAAGACAAAAATTCTAGTGTTTTCTAAAGGACCAATGTCAAAAAAGGTATTTTATTACAATGATAATGCAATTGAAAATGTAAAAGAATTTAAGTATCTTGGGATAATTTTTCACACTCAGGCTCATTTTGTAAGGCCAAAACACATTTATGTGAACAAGCACAGAAAGCAATATGGTGTAATAAGGAAGATAAGACAATTTAACTTACCTTCTGAATGTCAGTTAGATCTTTTTGATAAAGTTGTTGTTCCAATTTTGACTTATGGCTGCGTATTTTGGGGTTATGAAAACGTTGACATCATTGAACGGGTACATTTAAAATTTTTAAAAACATATTTTCCATTTAAAGAGTAGTACGCCCTCGTATATGGTGTATGGGGAGACTGGGCGATTCCCATTGTATATTACTATTTTTACAAAAATGATCTCGTACTGGTTAAAATTGTTTATCCCGAATTCTTCAGAAAACAAAATAGTCTGTGTTTTGTATAAATATCTATATTCTCAATATTTTCAAGGAGGTCCAAAAACCCATGGGTAGATTTCATTTATAAAATTTTAACCTCTTGTGGGTTCTCTAACATTGGGTATGAACAAAGTTCCATTGACAGAAATTGGATACTTGCAGCGGTGAAGCAAAGATTGAGAGATCAGTTTATTCAAAAATGGCATAGTGATATTAAAAATTCATCAAAAGGTCAAATTTACAGAATTTTTAAGATTGATTTTGGATGTGAAAAATATCTAAGTATTTTACCTAGTAAACTCCAAAAAATATTAATAAAATTTAGAACCTCAAACCACCACCTCCCAAATGAAACTGGTAGATGGTCAAATATTCCATTAGATGAAAGAGTTTGTAAATTGTGTAATACAGGGCAAATAGCAGACGATTTTCATTTCATTTTAGAATGTAAAACACTGAATAGTATCAGAAAGAATCTTTTACAACCCAGATATTGTAAAACGCCAAATACACTTAAGTTTTGTGAAATTATGTCAACGACAAATTTAAAATCTTTAAAAAACCTTTGTATATTTACATCTAAAATAAACGACACCGTCTGTCCTCCATAATTTAAATGTTACCATACCCTCTTTTCTTTTTCTTTTTTTTAAATCTTTTTTCATTGTATGTTTATTGCTATACTTTGCACATATGTTATGCATCTCATTTATGCTATTGTATCATAATTATATTTATTATTTTTCTTACAATTATGATGAATAATTTATACATTGTACCTCATGTACCTTATACATTGTACCTCATGTACCACTGATGTTGGTGTGAGTGAACTTGAATGAACTTGAACTTGAACTTGAGGCACCAGCACTTCCGACAGAGGACCGCAGACCTTATTCGGCACTTAGAGCCATTGAGAAGCTAGGACTCTTTTAGGTGCCAACACCTACTGCTAAAGATCTGTTCTATTTCAAGTTAAGTTTTCTGGGTTTTTTTCTTCAGATTTCTAAATGTTACATCTAAATCTGACGTGATTCTCATCTCCCATCGAAAAGTGACGTTCATTCTTTGAATAATTAATACTTCGATTCATCATCGTGAAAATAAACACAAGTCATTCTACACGTATATCAAAGAATATCGTTTTATAAAAAACAAGTATTTCAGAATTTTTTCCATACCTGATCTATTCCTCTGTTTCTTAAATGTTTTTCGACACATACCCCGCCGAACACACAAAACTATGGCAATCATGATTAGAGCAATCAAAACTAAAGAGAAAACAATTCCCGAAGCAAGAGGTAAACGTATATCCCTTTCGTTGTTGACAAATCTGAAAAAAAATTAAACCAAAAAAATTGCAATTCTGATTATTGCATATTAAGGATATGCCAATTTTGCTTACAGTGTGCAAAAAAAGCTTTAAGGTAATTCCACCCTCCTGTGATTTCATAGGTTTTTGCAAAAACTGTAACTAGTTTAAGTTTATACCTAATAGAAGAATATCTTTTGGAAGAATGCTTTACATTAGGTGTGATGATAAATATTGTTAAGTAAAAGAATTTTTAAAATGCATATTTTCTTTATTTAATCAATTATTCGATCTTTAAAATATGTTGATAAGTACAATAACCCTTTTTACGGTCTCTTCATTCAAGCATTTGCTTCATTGTAAAACAGTTTCCCTGATATTCACAATTCAAAAGTATCTTATTAGTAGGACGTATTTAGGAACATTCAGCATCAGAATTATACATTTTAACAAGTTTTTATATATTTTTCATAATACTGTTTACAAAAAAATGTGCGATTTGGTTTGTTGACATACACTTCTGTTTATTTATGTTTCGCATCTTAAATAATATGGTGACCTATACATTTTTTGCTATAATTGGGAAATTTAAAGTAATATACTATATTAAATGAAAATGTATGCATTTTTTTGTACTTTGAACCATTAAAATTGTGAGGGTGGAAACACCTTAAGTGCACAATATTTAATAATTAAAAACTATCACTCTTCAAAGTTCTAAGAATTTGCAGCAGTTAAGCAAACTCGACACGGTTGAACAAACCAAAAAACAAAAATTTTGTGTCACATTTCAGATAGAGAAATTAGCTACATGTATATACCAAATAGGTAAAAGCCCCAATAATCAAGAAGAAATTACTATGACTCTGCTGTTCTTCATAAGAACATAGTTCCCCTTATATTCACTGGGTGCATGCACGAAAAAGATCCCTCACTGCTCAAGGACATAAGTGCCATGTAAGCACTCCGAAGACAAGCGGTACCATCTCAGTATGAGTGTAAAATTCTCCAACATACAGACGGGCAAATGGGCTTTGCTGTTCTTAGGAAGAACATTCTAAAAGATTTTTCCTTTAGACATTGCTTTTAAAAGAACCCTTGTGGTACCCACCACCTTTCTGGGCCATTATTTAAAATTTATCATTCTCCACTATTTACCGAAGCTTATGTACAAGTTTTATATTTCCTTGCAAATTGGTTGATATTCCGTGAGAAGCTAGATTTTGGAAACATGGTATTAAATTTCCTCATAACATGTACATGTACCTCCCTTTGAAATAAGGAATAGCTTTTTTTAAACAAACTTGAATTTTTAGTACAAAGTTTCGCAAGTTTTGTTGTGCCCAGTGGTGTTTGAGAAGAAGTCGAAAACAGATGATGAACAGACGGACGGGCGCCAGACAACTTTTCTAGATCTGTTTAGGTGTTTTGTCTTTTATCAAATCAATACAAACCTAACACTTGTCGTTATTGGTACAGTGGTAGAGGATATTGAATAACTCAAGCTACTGGTAAGAATTAGATTCCTTTCTTCTGTGCTAGACTGGCCAGTAGACCTGACCACAAGTTGATAGCAATCACGATCTACAAAAATGCAAAAGGTTATTATAAAATATTGAAAGTATTTTTCTTTATCTGTGTATATCTGGTAAACGGATATTTGGACATATAAATAAAAAAACTACTCAAAATTATTTATTTTGGGTTTTTTATTTACTGATAACAAATTTATGATAAAAATTGCATTACTTCATCATTTTGTGCCCACAGTGCACTTATCATAGAAGAAGTGGTACGTATGTACTTCATTCTTGCTGACACTTAGTCCGAAAAATCTGACGTTTTCCTGGGTTTTTACGGTTTTCCTGGCATGCAAAATATCAAAATCGTATGAAAAAATCAGGAAAACGTAAGATTTTTCGGACTAACTGATACTGAATTTCAATCTCTACCCAGAGTTATCGTTCCACTAATACCTCTGACAATGTCTAAAAGAAGTACGAAGTCAAATGATTTTTTTTTAATGTTTAAAGTGGCCAATAAGAAGATAAACACCCTTACATTTCTGTTTAATGTGTCAATGCTGCAAGTCTGTTGTCTATAAGAACTAAATCATGTATATATATCAGTATTAAATTTTGTAAATTGAATGTTCTCAATATCCTACCGAGATATAATCCCTTGTAAGATACGGCCGCGGAAAAGCTATATCTGTTATAAATTTTCATAAAATTGAATGAACTTTGATTTAATGCAAGTTTATTATGCAACAGGTAAATGGTACCGTAAGTTTGCCATGAATCTTGGTATCTAGACATTAACAGAGGTGTTGTAACGAGGCGTAATACACCATCTCGTGAGAGATTATGATAATATTATTAACGAACACAAATTGAACCATGAATGCAATAGCTTATCAGAATCTAATGTAAATTTTTTTTTTAAATATTACAAGATTGTCCAATTAACCTTTATAATATTAGTACAAAAAATATTTCCATTTTTAATACAGGTCATACTAATATGTTTACTTCTAAAACATTTATCAGGGCTTTTTAAGCGGTTAGCTAGCTAACCGCTTTATGGCATGGGCTCCAAAAAACCGGAAACTTCCATAAGGCGCTACCTATCGACATCGCTTTATGGCACGTAACCTTATCCTTCTGCAACCAAAACCGGAAAATTTCACAAGGCGCTACCTATCGACAACGGTAACTTCAGCAAAGTGCTTCCTATGATTTGTATACTGTTGGCGTAATACGCCCCCTGGTGAGAAATTGACAATATGCTGTGTACGAAGAGTGGCTATTATAACGATTATATCGAATTCTTATTAATATTTACCAAAGCATTGACAATACTTAGAACACTAACTTCAAAGAACTGAGAATTTGGTCCTTATTACATGTACATCGTGCGATCGCGATTTATAGCAACTGTTAGTTTATTTTTGAAAGTTGAACGATACGGTTAATTATACAGCAGGTTGAAGGTTATTACAGACTGCAAAAACATCAGCAAATCTCTCGATTGAGTTTGATTTTCCTTGCCAAAGTATTAAGAAACACCATTTATTAAGTTAAGTAATACCTGAAAAACGCTGTTATAAAAACACCGAATATTTCTGTAAGGTTTACACTTTTTGTAACGTTTTTACGAAAACAATAGGATTACCTCCACAATGAAACGTTTGTTTTCTTCTCTTTTCTTCGCTGTCTAATAAACAGTAATAAAAAGTATTACAGAAACAGAATGTCTGTTTTTTTTTCTCTGATGGCATTGGACAAAGATATGCATACTTAAATATCATTTCATGCACTTTTTTTCGGCACATATAAGATGAAAGCATGCTAACCGCTTTTCAGTACTTTCAGTACTTTGATTAAATTAGTCATGTTTGTGCATAAAAATTCCGCCCTGGTTATAAACAGATAAAAGCCAAAGGCAAGGACAATTCACCGACAAAAAACACTGAGAGGGTTATGACTCAAAGCCAAAATTCTAATCATTCATTAATTGTTTTAAAACTCTTCTACCGACTTTTATAAGCTGAAACCATAGACGTTTGGGTCAAGGATACTGTATAATATTATATTTTCTATTTTCTTCATATAACCTAGAATGTCAAAGAAATTTTATTTTATGCACGCTTTAAAAATGGCATATCCCACTGTATAATTAAAAGAAACAGTATTTTGGGATATGTCATTTTTAAAGCGTGCATAAAATCAAATTTCCGTGACTTTCTAGTGTATATGAAGCAGAGAAGTTTACAAAAAACTAAAAATTAACACTGCGGACTGAAAAAAAAATATTACGAGTATAGTTCAAATTTCCTCGACAATACCGTATAAGTAGAATTTCTAGCGAGGATTTAATTTTGGCATTATTAGCGAGGGTGCTGACATCGCTAAAATTGAATATCGCTAAATATTAATTGCTTGTTAATTGTAATAGATTCTTTAATTAGCATTTTAAAATCGCTGAAATTACTTCTCGCTAAAAATAAAATACCAGATTTTGGGTAGAAATCGCTAAATTTGCGTCTCGCTAAAATTTCCACTTATACGGTACATTATATAGAAAATATACAGTACCCTTGACCAATCGCCTATGGCTGAAACTTAAAAAACGAAATTTACGGCAAAGTAAAAAGGAATTTTATATGAAAAAAAAAACATAGGCGAAAAAGGCATAAAAATAGCCTACACTTTCAGGTATACAAAAATTGATTTTCAATTTCTGATCGATGCGAAGCATACAAATACTTAGTAAAAAGTAAACACTTATTTTAGTAAAAAAAAATACTAAAAATAGTATTTATTTACTAAATAAAGTCGTAAGAAAATACTTACAGACAACGGATGAATTTCGATCAGAGAAGCTCATTTGAGGCCTCAATTAGAGTGTAGTTAACCGTGAAAATGTCGATCTTCTTTTTCATGCGCCCGGATCGATAGCTCCGAGGCGTATATTGTTTTTGTCCTGTCTGTTTGTCTGTTTATCTGTTTGTCTGTCTGTCTGTTGTCAACTTTAACCTTCGCCATAACTTTTGAACCATGAAAGATAGAGACTTCATATTTGGTATGCATACTCCACCAATGAAGTTCTTTCAAATGGTACCAAGGTCAATGACCTTGTGACCTTGACTGTGACCTATTTGCTAAAAAAGCTTTTTCGAATTTTCGCCATAACTTTTGAACAATGAGAGATGGAGACTTTATATTTGATATGCATACTCCACCAATGACGCTCTATCAAATGACACCAAGGTCAATGACCTTGTGACCTTGACTGTGACCTTTATGCTAAAAATAGATTTTACAAACTTTCTCCATAACTTTTGAACCATGACAGATAGAGACTTCACATTTGGTGTGCATACTCCACTAATGAAGTTGACTGTTCTTCAAATGACACCAAGGTCAATGACCTTGTGACCTTGACTTATCTTCTGAAAATATTTTTTTGAACTTTGTTGCCGTCGGGCGCATAGTGTTTCACAAACACATCTTGTTAAAAATACTTTAAGTATGTGAGAGTTTCATTAAATTTCATTAAGTGGTATAAGAGGAGATGCAATTATAAGAGATTGGTATGCCAAAGCGTAACAGACGTATAAACATAGAGCTAGACAAACGAACATCCTGAAAACTATATACCCAGTCCCTCCCACTTTTCAACGGGGGTACAAAAATGTCTGGATTTTCGTTATCTGTTGGTTACTTACATTTATATGTGTCCGTTGACTTGTATCTCAGAGGACATGTGTTTTCTGTAAACACACCACAGTCTGTATTCTGATTCGCCTGGATGACGCCTCCACCTTCGTTGTACTCTGTACATCGTCCTGTTAAGTATAAAGAGTGGATTTAAATTTAAAAAAATAACACGGAGATTTTTAAATATTATATGTTTAAAGTTGTTCCTTTTAAGGCCTAGATACTAAATTGAAAATATAGTTTGAAAAAAACGTTATCTGTTTAATATTAACCGACACATTATGTAACATAATAACAAAGATCAAGTGCGTTTGCGGCTTTTAATTTTCAAAATAATACATTAACATGTGAAATCAATAAATTTCTTAGGGGTTTATTTTTCGTTGATTTCTAAGTATAAAGAGACGTTCGAATTCATGTCCATCACGAAAAGTAAAATATTATGCTATATAACAATCCTTAATTTACGAAATCAAATCCCCACTAACCCCTAGGTGTTCATCAAACCTCGAAATTTGACCTCAAAAAATTGAGTATTTTACAGTATACGTTACAAGAAAACACAATCATACATACACAATTCATTACTTTAAATTTTCTTGAGTTTAATTATTACGATAGTTTTTACAGTATACAAACCGTTAACGATGAATTTAGGTACCGCGCACACCTCTATTGTGACATTGAGGAAATGATTTGGAACGCAGTGATAGACTAGAGAGGAGGTACTACAGTCTTGGGATAGGGAGGAACAGTTCTTTCTTAAAGCCGCTTGATTCCAATCCCTTTCATTTTCTGGACAATATTCTACCACATCGGCTGAGGATATGGATGCTTCACAGCATTCAGTTGTCTACAATATCCGATCCAGAAGTACATTAATAATACTGTAGACGTACTATTTTCAACCGGGTCATAATTCCGCGAAATCTCTATTTCTTTTTAATCCCCGGGTTGAAAATTACGTGGATTTCTTAGACTCTCACTATAGTCCCTGCAAGTATTTTGAGTACGATGGGATAAATTTCCGCGTACAACTTGTGACCGCGTACATAGAGTAAATTAATAACACGCAAAAAAGTACCTCTACGGTCAGTACTGTTCTATATCGTTTGAAACATTTCAGTAAAGCTTTAAATTTTCAACAAAGTTATTATTTTTTACTTTGATAAAGATAAACAGTATACATTTATTACATATACATAATTATATTATCAGACTGCAACCAAATGACAATATTTATACCTCCAGGACGCAACACCACATTATCACCAAACCCACCAGTCGAGTAATCATTAGAATTCAACATACGTCTGAAATACATGATGTACATATTAAAAAAGGCAGTTAAAAGGGCAAAATGAGTCAAAATCATTTCTTTCTTTTAAGATATTTGTAGCATACAGAGAAAAACTTATGAAAATAATGAGTACATGTATATAGCTAAGATATGTCAATTAATCTGCAAATATTTCCTTTTCTAATTTTTTTTTCTCTGTGATAACTCTTTGAAAGTTAACGGAGTTGATTTCTTGATAATTCTACCGGAATGTAAATTAGGAAGGTCGATAGATCAGGAGCCAAGGAGGCCTAATACGCATGCAAATCTCGCGCGCATCTGTCTCTGTGTCTGACGCTAAGGAGGCCAAACATGCATGTAAATCTCGTGTGGCTACCTTTGTGTTTGAGGTCAGTTGGCGAGGACCATTAGAATTGACATGGGAGTCTTCGTGTAATTTAAATCTATGTCTACATTTTAAAAATCTAACCCATGTTTCCCACTATCGTTGATGCCCTGGCATACAATACTAACTAGACAGTGATTCCTTAAGAAAAGACTGTACAATACAAGTGCCGGAAAAACTAGGGTTGTATATACCGTTTGGTTGTTTCGTGTATGTCAAGGTCACACCACTTTTATTTTTAGCTCAAACTTGTAAACAACATTCAACTGGAGCATGCCAAAGGTGAGAAATATGTTCAGACAACTTTTTAAAATAATAACACCAAAATTTTTGGTCTACTTACTTTCATTCGTGGATACTTGAGACCGTTACAGTTACTATGGAAACTTATTCAACTTTTCTGCGCACGCATACAATAGGGAGGAAGAAATACCTTAGGTATTTTGCAATATTTTCTTTATGGAGGATACTGGAATTATTTTTACTTTTATTTTTCTCCATAATAATAAAAATTTTAGAATCTAAAACCTGTAATGTTCTGAAACCTAATGCTTTTAGGAATGGAACAAAATTTACATGGTTCATGCAAAATTTCTACATTTGTCAATTTTCCATCCCCTTTATGCATTACGGTGTCTCTTAAACAGACTGAGCAATGAACTACATATTATACACGTATAATACACGTGGTACTAAGATCAACTGGACGAAACTAGGCAAACGTCAGTATGTCAACGATTTTTTTCTGCTACATTAACTTGCCTAAATCACAGGTACTTGTGGACATAACACCCCCCCCCAATATTTAACCCTGGGGCTTATTGGGCATTTTTCTCCAAAAATTATATCTGTTACACTTATTCATCATGTGTACAATAAGAAAAAAATCGTAAAAAACCCAAAATAATCGCTCCACAAAAAAATACCCTACTGTACATTATAAGAGAGACCTCTTTACGTAATAAAACGTTGTAGTTCATAGACACTATTTATAATATACAATAGCCTTGCAGGAACCAATTATTGGAGTGCACATAGAATTATTGTCCCCCGTTTTCGCGAAAGTGAGGGGACATTAAATCTCATTCGTCTGTGATACTAGGACTTTCATATTTCACTTATGTATTCTTTGTGACAAGACCTTTCATTTCATATCAACAACCTTGACCTTTTGACCTTGACCTTGGAAATTTTTCGCACTAATGGAAAAAACTTCAACCTTTACCATAACTTTCGAATGGTAAGGGCTAAAGCTTTCATACTTCACATATGTAATCCTTGTGAGAAAACTGTTCATTGGATACCAAAAACTTTAACCCTTTGACCTTGACCTTGGAGTTCAGTGATGATTTCTAAATAACTGATATATGATAGGGTGTTCATATTACACACAATATGTCATCAGGGGCGGATCCAGGAATTAAAGTTAGGGGGGCGCAAGACTTAGGCAGGGGGTCTGGGGGCCGCCTTGAGGCCCCCAGTGGGTCCAGGGCAAAGCCCTAGTGGGGGCCCAGGGAGCAAAGCCCCCAGAAGCTCTTGGATTCTAGAGGTTTTGTAGGGTAAAAATGAGGTCTACCGAGTAGACAATTTAAACATTTTTTCGACAAAACTATGTTCACGCTAACCGCTAACTTTGACAATTTTAGGGGGGGGGGGGCGGGTGCGCCCCCCCCCCCTTAAATCCGCCACTGGTCATTAAAAATGACATCTCACCCACAAAGACACCGAAAGCGGGGGACCACAATTCCTTGAATTTGCTTGTTTATAAAGTTGCAATCGATTTATTGAGAAAGGTTCGAAATAGGAATATAATCAGGAAATGTTAGACCTATTTAAATAACAGCATTTACAAGATGTGTTTGTGAAACAATGGCGAAGGTTAAACATTCTCAAATGCAAATCACATACATGTATGTTAGTACCCAGAGTAAGGCCTTCTCACAAGTAATACAATTTTGAAATATAAAAGCCCTAACAATACCTATAAGTATTCAAATTATGGTTCAAGGTTAAAGTTTTTTGCAAGTATAGGTCCATCCTCACAATGTCAAGGGTTTGTGATTTCTCGAACTCCACACAAACACAAACCCTTGACATTGTGAGGATGGTATAGGTCAAACATCAAGGTCAAGATCAAAGGATCAATGTTGTTGGTTTCTAAAGAAAGGTCTTGTTACAAGGGTTACATATTTGAAGTAGAATGCCTAAGATTTAATACTTCAAAAGTTATGGCCAAAAGTTTAAGGTTTTTATTTTTAAAAAGTAAGTTAAACTTACTTCTCTGATTTAAGGAAAGCAATGGGTTATTGACCACTACTGATTCTCATAAAAATGTCAAAAGCCAAATAATGTTTCCCACTCCTTTTGTGTACCATAGCTTTTGAATAATTAGTTTAGTATATTATATTGAACGTAAGAATACAAAATAAGGAATTAATAACTAATTTAATTCACTAATCGGCTACCAAACTAACATTCTTTCAAGTACAATAGGATAAAAGGATAATACATATACATGTACACCCCCCTCTCTCTCTTCCTCTTATATGCCTGTATCTCCTAGGTCTCCGGTTTTTTTTTCCTTTCTCCTATTTACGACAGTCTCTTTCTACAATAGTTATACAATTAAACAGCAGTCTAATCCCATTGTGGGACTTGGAGACCGGTCCTTCGGTTGAAACCGTATAAAACGAGGTACCGTGTCGTACCGCGTGAGTGTTGGCACGAAAAAAAAATCCTCACTGCTCAAGGAAGTATACCAGGCACTATATACCTTAGTGCCGAGTAAAGGAGAAAGTTTTTAGCTCTCCACTGGCAAGTGGTGACGTCTCCATATGAGTGAAAAATTTTTGAGAGGGGGTCAACAATATACAATCAATACATTCAACTTACCGGCTTTCTCTAAAGGCGGGAATCTCGTGATATTTATTCATGCTATCAATCGAGTACGATTGAACGAGCTGAATCCTGCACATATATCGTTTCAATCAGATGTATCCTGGTAATAATGTTTTTAAATCATTTGAGGATCGAATCAAATGGATCTATATAACGTTTTATACAGACGGAATATTTAAAGTGATAAAGCAATTTAATCTGTGTTATGAGCCCTAGCTGCCTTACAGACAACACGGACAAGTACCGGTATTTAAAAGGAAATCCCCTGTTTCTTATTATACCTACACATAAATGTTTACCTTTTCAATTTAAGATCAAACTATGTAATACCATTTGTGCACGAGTGTATGGCAAGCCCTTTTACTATTTATTCGGAAAATAAATTTTATCTTCAAATTACAGAGATATCTCTCATTTTAGAGAGATATCTCTTAAAAAATAGAGATATCTCCCAACTTAAAGAGATATCTCTATAAGAAAGAGATATCTCTTTAAGTAAGAGAGATATCTCTTATACTTAGAGAGATATCTCTTTTACTTTAAGAGATATCTCTTTCTCCTTGAGAGATATCTCTTTCGTGAAAAGAGATATCTCTGAACGTTAAAGAGATATCTCTTTCATCTAAAGAGATATCTTTTTCACCTAGAGAGATATCTCTTTCACTTTGAGAGATATCTCTTAAAGTAAAAGGGATATCTCTCTAAGTTTATCATAAGAGATATCTCTCAAAGTGAAAGAGATATCTCTCAAAAGTGTCTACAAGAGATATCTCTAAAGCAAAAAGAGATATCTCTTTATTGCAAATAGATATCTCTCTTCATTATTTTTATTAAAATTCCATTTTAAATTACTTCTCCCTTTACCGGAAGTATTTCAAAAGCTGAGAAAACTCGGTCCAGAGTCTGAAAGTGCTTGTCACGTAACTGGCGGCGTTCCTCATTTCTGGGGTACCTAACACATGCCTGACATGGATTTGTGTATAGAGTTTAGCATGTTTCTGGTTTACGCAAAGCTTTTGGGGAATGTTAAATAGTTTTACTTTTACAAAGCGGAATGTGTAATGTCTCCGAATCAACTATGTACGAGTTAACTTTATGTTTTGTTTATTTCAAGAGTTATTTCCCGTAGACGTAGTTTGGCAAGCGCCATATTTTACACGTGCAATTGTGACTTTGTAGCCCTATGGTGTAAGTACACTTTCATTTGATATAAAATTAAGATCTAAGAATTCATGTGTTAAAGCGCAAACCTTGTAATGTCAAATGTTTCAGCAATTCATAGGCGCTTGGGTCAAAGATACTGTATTTTTTCTATATAATGTATTATCGAGGAAATTCGAGCTATACTCGTCACATTTTTTTCAGTGTGCAGTGTTAATTTTTAGTTTTTTTGTAAACCTTTCTGCTTCATATTCACTAGAATGTCGCGGAAATTCGATTTTATGCACGCTTTAAAAATGACATATCCCACTGTATACTAAAAAGAATCTTTTTTTTTAGAGACAAGCATGCCATATTATATGGGTTTGTAGATAAATTATTGTAGAAGAAATAGGTGTAAAAAGTTTACCCGTGCATTTCCTCTTAAATTGTAAATGAGCATGATTTTAAGGGAGGGGGTACTCCTTGTAATTTGGAGTAAGATACCTTGTGTTATTATTATACTTTATGTCAAAAATTTATTACAGAAGCTGCATTTAACAAACTTCCGATCTCTTAACATGACCATATTTCTCACTTTAGAGACTGAGAGTATGTTCCCTATTTATAGAGCATGGTTCAAGGATTTTGAAATTTTCTGTCTTTTCACATTCATCCGCATGGCACGTTGGTTTTAGCGTCTGCTCTAGAGTCGCAAAGTACGGAGTTGATCCTTACGTCTTGGGTTTGAATCTCACCATGGGATGTGGAGACTTGTCCTTGGAATGATACAGTATAAACCGTGGCCCAATATCACAGTAGATATTGACTCAAAAAAGATATCTTCCTGCTTAATGGCCCTGAGTGCGGAGCATAGGACAAAATTTGCAGCTCTCCACCGGTGTTTCCATATGAGTGAAAAATTCTTGAGAGGGATGTTAAACAAATCTGTCTGTTGAATTAAGTCATTGATATTAAACAATTGTATACATTAAAACTTATTTTATAGCAGAGGTACAAGAGAACCATGCAGTAACACAGATAAAAGATGCAGTTCCTAAGAGATCCAAAGTCGGCAGCTCCTAAGGCTATACTGACTGAATTATCAGCATCCAAAACAAATTGATACAAATCAAATACAGGTATGAAATTGATGCAACAAAATAAGTTCTAGGACAAATATTAAATTTATTTTTTGTAAGACATAGCATATCAAAAAATGACAAAAAATTCTGTGATGTCCAGGGATTTTTTACCCCCACCCCACCTCAAGGTTTCAAACATAGACCCCTTTATTCAACTTTACTGTCATCTTACCTCACTATAAAAATAGGGTAAAATACCCTTGTTTACAGATTAAATGTATAATAATTATATATACATGTATGGATTTTTTTTTCCAAGATGACTAATATACTAGTCAACAATGGCCATCTTTAAAAAATGTTTGTTTGATGTAGTTCTACCCACTTTTATCAAGATTAGTAGGTAGGTATCAATAGTTTTTTTTTCTTTTGCCCTACAGTATTGAACAAATTGATAACTGTCATATTTGAAACCATGCACATACTCAGAAATCTGTTGATATTTTCATTACTATCTAGAAAGACTTTATAATCATAAATAGAAAAGCATCCTAAAAATAATTGATACCTTATCTTTAAAACATCTATGGAATTTAACGGGGGAAAATTGAAAATTTTGAAGTGCCCAAAAAATGATTGCTAATGGGTAGGGGCCATTTTAACAGGTCAGTCAGAGTAAAACAAACAAATCTGTTTTTTATACCCCCTTGTCCATCTGTCTAGCTGTCCATCTGTCTGTGCAAATGTGTCCGGTCCATATCTTTCTTACGTAGGGACATAAGAATCTACTACTCCATACAAAGATTGCCCATGATCCAAGGGTGTGTCATGACCTTGACCCAAGGTTTCATTTGGGGAAGTTCAAGGTCATTTGAAGAAAAAGTTCATAATTTGTGTCCAGTCCATATCTTTCTTATTGATAAACTTGGTGGGTTCTCATTTCACACAAAGATTGCCCATGACCCAAGGGTGTGTCATGACCTTGATCCAAGGTCATTTGGGGAACTTTAACTAAGGTCACTGGAAGAAAAAGTTCATAATTCATGTGTGATACTTATCTTTATTATCGAAAAACTTAATTCTGAAAAACCCAGCGGGGGGTATTTTTTCCCGTTTAGACAGTTCTAGTTATTGTTGGCCTGAAAATGCAACAAATATTTTTATGCCTCCTTAGAAATTATTTTTATGCTGGGGCATATAGTCTGTCATGAATACGGCTGGGGCATTTAGTGTTTGTCATGTCCGTCTTTCCATCACACTTTGCGTTTAGCTCTGCTCAATGCTCATTTTCAAAGAAACTATCCAAGATAATTATTTTCATCAAACTTCATACGCATATAGATGTTGATGAGAGCTGAGCAACTGTATCAACATTCTTTGACCTTGATATTTCCTTTGACATTGACCTCACTTTTTAGGTCACCTGAGTAAATCCAGGTGACCTATTGTTATCCGTTTTCGTCTGTCGTCGTACGTCGTTCGTAAACTTTAGAACATTTTCAGCTTTTTCTCTGCAACCACTGAACCAATTTCAACCAAATTTGGCACAAAGCATCTATGGGTGAAGGGGAACAAAAATTTAGAATTTCATGATCCCTGCCCCCCTGGGGCCTGAGGGGTGGGGCCAAAACCACTAAAAGTAATGCAATCTTTAAAAATCTTCTTCTTTACTCCTGGACATCAAGCAGTCAAACTGTTTGCATGATTGTAATCAGCATTGAATCCTCTACCAAAATTGTGAAATTCATGGCCCTGGGGTCAGGGGTTCTAGTGCTAGGGCAGGGCTAAATAAGTATACAGTGAAAATGCATTATTTCTTTGAAAATCTTCTTCTTTGCTCCTGGGTATCAAATAAACTAATCAAATACATAGTGATGTTGAATAAGGATTCCTCTTCCAAAATTGTGAATTTCATGGCCCCAGGGTCAGGGGTTCTGGTGTTGGAGGGAGGGGGGCTCTATTGATTATATAGTGAAAATACATGAGTTCTTTGAAAATCTTCTTCTCTGCTCCTAGGTATTAAATAAACTAAGTAAGTGCATAGTAATGATGAGCAAGAGTGCCTCCTATAAAACTGTGAATTTTATGGTCCCAGGGTCAAGGGTTCTGGTGTTAGGGCGGGGTTCTATTGATTATATAGTGAAAATTCATTAAATCTTTGAAAATTTTCTTCTCTGTCTCTGGTTATGAATTAGATGAACTACCTATATAGTTATGATGAGCAAGGGCCCTTATCTTGCAGAATTGTGTATTTTAAGGCCCCAGGGTCAGGGGTGGGGGGGCTCTTCTTATATACTGAAAATGAATTTATTGTTTGAAATCTGCTCCTTTGTATTTATAAAACATTATTTATTTTTTATAGGCAATTTTAAGGGTGCTTTTTAAAAATTTGTGCAATGTTTAGACCTAGGGTCAGGGGTTTATGTCACAGTGTTAGGGGCACTACTGCTGAATATTACTGATTAGTTGGAGTGCTTTTTTGTTCCCCAACCCTGCGTATGGGTATTCAGTTACCAAGCTAAGCAACTGTTAAGTGTATTGTTATGATGATCAATGGTGCCTCCTTCAAAATTGTGAATGCCATATAGCATCTGGCTTAAAACATGAATCAAATTCATACACTGTAACTGGAAAGTTATTGCATAATGCTCAGGTGACCTATAAGGCCCATGGGCCTCTTGCTTACCTTGACTTTTCCTTTGACCTCACTCTTTCTAAATTAGTTTAAAACTTTATATGCTAATACATACTGATGAGAGCTATTCATTTGCATCAACATTTTGACCTTGACCTTTCATTTGACCTTGGACTCACTTTTAACAAATTGTGATTAAGTTAAATATAAAGAAACCATTCTTTATATTATTTTTCAAATTTCATATGCTGATACATAATGATGAGAGCTTTTCAACTGCATTAACATCTTCGACATAGGTCCTTCCTTTGACCTAGAACTCGCTTTTCTCCAATAAGACAATTAGCGTTAAAACTTCATATGCTGAATTGCTGATGCATACTGATGTAACCAATTCAACTGCATCACTTTTCAAGATATTCTGAAATTTCACACAGTTACACAAATTCAAATTTTCATGTTGCATTACTGATATACCCTTGGCGGGGCATTCATGTTCTATGGACATATTTCTACTGGTCTCTTTTGTGAATAATGATGCATTTACGAAGAAGAATTTCCATTCTTTTTCTGAGGTTGACTCATCTAGTAAAGTTTCCCACTTTTCTTTTTATATGCCCGGATCTGAGGTGTGTATTGCTTTTGTCCTGTCTGTTGGCAACTTTAACCTCTGCCTTAACTTTTGAACCATGAGAGAGACTTCATATTGAATATGCATACTACACTAATTAACGTCTTTCAAAGACACCAAGGCCAATGACTTGTGACCTTGACTGTGACCTATATGCTAAAATAGCTTATTTGAACATTAGCTATAACTTTTGATTCATTAAAGATAGGGACATCATATTTTGAATGCTTTCTCCACTAATTAAGCTCTATCAAACAACATCAAGGTCAATGACCTTGTGACCTTTACTGTGACTTTATTGATTTAAAAACCATTTTGAACTTTTGCCATACATTTTGAACCATTAAAGATAAAGACTTCATATGAATCATATATGATATGCATACTCCACTAATTAAGCTCTTCCAAATGACACCAATTTCAATGAACTTGTGACCTTGACCTATATGCTAAAAATAAATTTTTCGAATTTGTAAAAATGTCGTTGCCAGGTGCAAAGTGTTTCACAAACAAATCTTGTTTTGAAAGAGTTTTAATATTTTAATTTCTGTAGAATTTAATGTTACATATAAAAACCAAAAAATATATTTAAAATCAAATCATTTTTATTTCAGTACTTTGTGACAGTGGGAAGACCGAATTTAAAAAATGGACATGGCACAATATTACTGCATCAGAGTTCAATCCAGGTTTACTTATAATTTGAAGAAAAACAGTCAAGCATCATTTGGAGCTACATATGTCACTGCCTTAACAATATGCCAGCTTATACATAACCAAGCAAGCACAGTGACCAGTTGTACCTATGATGTTGGAAGAGATCCTAAAAACCTTCCAGTACACTCATCACTACCTGCAAAGAAATAAAAATTCAAATGACTTGTATCAACACTTGTGTACTTCATCTGGCTTGTATTTTCAGTAATCATTAGCCTTTACACTTTTGCTTCCTTCAAACAAAATTGCATAAGTACTAACTTGCAGGTGTAAAATGTTTGAAACAGTTTGCTTGTCCCAAAGGAAGTTGCAAATTAGCAGTGCATGAGCAGTTGATTGATGTCACAGTTCCACTGGCAAAATATTTGTAGCTGAATGGTGCCATATAAAACACTTTTAACAAGAACTTGGAAACATCCTAGAAGTGAGCATCTACAAGAAATTAAGTGAATGCTTTCTTGAATGTTAACAATGTTATAAAATGCTTGTGTACATCCTATATATTTATATATACAACTAATTACTCATGTAACTACCAAATATACAAAAATTAAACTTCCTTAAATTTGTTCTTGATGTTTATTTATAGTGTATTTAAATAAGTATCCAATATTTGTCTTGTTATACTGAAGGATTGTTAAGAAAATGTTGTTTGTTGAAACAAATGTGCAAACAAGTTACATTCTGTACAGATAGCAATTTTTGTGGAGAACCTATCAACAATATATTTTCAATCGTTGGGATGTACTGTTAGGCAAACAGTAGGAGAATTATACTTGTTAACAAATGTATTTTATTGATCAAATTTCAAATAGATGATTTAATAAGAAAGCAATGACAAATTTAACTAGAATTATGGTCCATTGATTTTTATCACCATGGTGTGTGAGCTTTTGTGAACTTGATACTGAACTAGTAAGTTTGAAATATTGAAGTAAAGAAAAGTGCAGCCCAAAAATTTATCTTGTACCTGATTTAACGTAGCTACGGATAGCGATCACGTGACATTGCATGTGAATTCTAAATTAAGAATTTTTCGGTTGGCTTATTCCGGAAATGCGCATAGTTCAATATGGCGGACTGCAAGTTGTAAACAACGTGCTCCGAGAAAAGTACAAGAGAAACGTTATAGGAACGCTCAGCTGTAAAGGTAGATCAAGTAAATTAGAGCGAATGAGAGAATACACATCTTAAGAAATAGAAAACTATAAAACCTTTTATGAACTAAAATGTCTGTGTATCGCAAACGACCGACTAGCACCCCCTATTCCAAAGCAGACGACGCTGCTGGTTTGAATCTCAATCATGATATGACATGGATGAAATCGAAAGAGGGACGAAGATTTGCTGAGATGAGGAACTTGACAAATCAGTTTATATGCTCTCAGTCACAGTGATATCGTTTGTATCTTTTCCAAAAACTTTGAAAGCGATGGTGACTAGGTACTTGATTGTATCAATACATTAGGCCTACATGTAAATGGGTCTGATAGTACTGTATTATTTATGGATTTATCGACACTTTCCACGGGAAATCCCGGCCCCGAAAGTAATACGATGGAGAGGCTTATGATCACTGTTGATATCAACTCAAAAGTAGCTCTTGGTAAGTCATATCTATAGATATTTACATGACATACTTTCATGATAATAGGCCTATTTTAATTCAGCATTAAACTTCACCCTTATGAGTATTTAGTAAATTCAGAGAATGTAATAAAGGGACTGTCATTCATTTGATGGGGGTGGGAGGGAGGGGCAAATTTCATGGGTGCCAGATTATGTATTTACAGTGAAGGACAGATAATTTATTTTTATTTCCAAGATCACTGGGGGCCTAATTCTTGTCAGTTTGTACCTAGGATATATTTCTATTCAAAAAATTCTACATTTTATAATCATTTAGGGTATTTCGATTCACCTTTAAAGTATTTCAATTTTGACGTAAAAAATTATTTTGGGATAAAACATGTTTGAAAAGTATATTAATTTATCAATAATCAGGTAAATTTTGTGTATATTATAATTATTTTTGTTGCTCTGAGTGAGTGTTTCAGTTTGGTAAAATTTACAGTAGCCCTGCAGGGCAAGTTTAAAGGCATGTTTAGTAGTCCAAACTCAATATTCAGTTGTCGCGGGCCAGCGGACTACCCTTAGTGTAGAACCCTGGACAGATTATTTTTGTTTTTCTTCACTGGTAAAAACTGTGTCAGTGTGGTAAACATTGAAACTGTTAACATGTTGTTTGCTGGTCTGATGAAATTGACAAATCTTTACATTACTGCTGCTGTATAGTTAGAATATTGGCCAGACAGTGGGGCATTTTAATTTAATGTTAGATTTACTGGTTAAAAAGTGATTTGCCAATCAACTAATATGATTAAATTTTGGTTTTGCTGGTATACATGTATATTTATTTGATCTATTTTTTTTCAGCCATCAAGATGGTACTTTCTGGTATAGGACCACCAACCCATGGCAGACCAGGGGATCTTGATGTCAGCATAATAGTGATTATGGTTAAGTCATTTAAATTTTGCTTAGTATGATAAATTTAATATTAAGTGTAGAAAATTGGCAATTTACATGTATGAGGTGTAAATTTTTGCAAGTTATATATACATGTATGAAATTTGTAATGGTTTGGGCCATGGATATATATCGTCCAGGGTAGCTCAGTCTGTATAGCACATGACTAGTGATGCAGGGGTCTCAGGTTTAATTCCCGGTCCATCCATACATTTTCTCTTTTCCTGTTACATATACATGTATATGTTTTTTTCACCGAAATTCTATATATAAGATATAGACATTGTGAGAAATATATTTTGATGTTGACTGCAGATAATATTGTATTTGTTAAATTTTATAAATTACAGATAGATTCATCAGTACAGAGTACAAGGTATATGAATATGAAGTTTAGTCCATTCATGCTGATGATGATTCAACTACTGCAGCTCGACGGAAGAATGATTTTCCACCCCTTCCAACAAAGAGCAGGACAAGAATCGCTTGTGGAAAATAAACTAACATAGTCAATAGACTACTTTTCTTTGTCAGCTTTATATTACCGGGTACATGCATCTCTTGATTGAGTGTTACATTTAAAGTGGAAACTAATCACTACACATATAGATTTTTTTTTCCATTTTTCATATTTAATCTACCCTGTTTTATGTCTGGTGTGGTAATAGATCACTCCACATGCAGCCTTTCATGTTTAATGTACTATGTTATGTTTTGTATATGTCAGTTGCAGTATTACACTGAAGTAGAGTGTAGATTATTCTTTTTTTAAAAAAAATGTATGCATAATTTAATGTCGACTTGTGATGTCGGGTTCAGTAATAGGCCAATCAACAGATATTCTCTATTATGCATAATCTACACTGTGATTGTTTTTCAGGCTTTTTAAAAAGCTGCTCCAAATATTCATGTAGAATCTTTTTTTTCAACTTTTTATATAAAATGTCCTGCATCAAGTGTTTTGTCCCAGTGCAGCATTGTCATTTTGTTTTTAATTTTTAGGTATACGTAGTTTATGTAATTTTATGTCTCAGGTCAAGGACGGTTTTAGACTAAGCCCATTTCATGTTTTTTTTCTCTGTTTAGCGTCCAACCTTCAATCAAAAACCTACCTACATGTACCTATTTGTATATAAAAATATAGCCTAAAAAATAAAACACAGAATGTACGTGTATCATGTCTATAGTTATAATAATAGTGTAAATCTGAGGATTTTATTTCATCAATCTGCTTTTCTGGCAGAAATATCTATTCTTCAGCAAAATCAAAATAATAAATTTAAATGCCTAAAGTACACTACCTATGACATATTTATTGTACATATTTGAGAAATTGACAGAACTCAAAGATGTCAACAAAAATAATCAAGTGCAGGGGTTCTGATTTTGTTTGATTGTCTGATACATGTAGGTGTCAAAAACCAAGGTGCGATTGGATGCCAAACAGAAAAAAGACTTGGAATGGCCTATTAAATGTTATTATCCTACCTGCTCATGGAATAAAATGACTTTTGATCAATTTGAAAGAGTACTGATCATATTTTTTCAATGATATTCTTATTATTCTATGAAATAGAAATTTGTGAATTTTGCAGTGCTATGTCAGATGGATTTCTTTATTCTGTATGACCAAAATGTATTTTTCGACAAATTAAGTAGAATACATTTGACATGTTAATAATTAGGGGGATTTTTGACATTGCAATGAAAAAAATCAGATGCATAAAAGGAGGGAGTGTATTAGACCATTCTATAACATAATACTATAGTTAATCATTTCGTAAATTTTATGGTCGATACAATGACCTTGTCAGCAAATACAATTTATCATTGAATCAAATGCTGACTGACGTTTTTCATACCAATTGTTAGTCCATTATTTATACACTGAATTGACCACGGATTTTTTCCGTTATTTCCTGATTATGACAACGAGCACACGGCGGGTGTGACCGGTCGGCAGGGGATGCTCACTCCTCCATGGCACCTGATCCCACCTCTGATGTTTCGGAGGTCCGTGTTTGCTCTGCTCTTATTTTGTATATTTGTTTAATGGACGTTGAGATTGAATACTGTTCGTTATTTCCATATCCTTCTCTTAATGCAGCTGAGATTTCTGAGTGAGAAATAGTATTGGACATTTTTGTCATACAATATATTTTTTAGAAATCTATAAGAAAACATAGAATTTGTTTGCATGAAAGTAATCAAAAGGGATCATGTTGAAGAATACTGTAGACGTACTTTTTTCCACGGGGTCATAATTCCGCGGAATCTCAATTTCTGTTTAGTCCGCGGGTAGAAAATTACGCGGATTTTCTAGATTGTCACTATATGTCTTACATTTATATTTAGTACGCTTGGATAAATTTCCGCGGAAACTTTTTGACCGCGTACATAGCGTAAATTAATACCACGCGGAAAAAAGTACTTCTACAGTATTTAAATGTGGTTTTTTTAATTACATTTTTGTTCAAGTATCTATTGTTGAAATATAAATTCATATTTTAATTTGGTTGAGGAACTTTTTATGGATAATTTCAATATTGGTTTAATTACATGTTTTATTGCGAGAGGAAGGGGGGGGGGGGGGGTTATTACTCTATATGTACTGTTATTTCATAAAAATATTTTCTTTAGTCATTTATTAGCAATTGATTTTTACTTCGAATTTATTTCTTCAGTTGTTTTTCCCTAATTTGCTATGCATTTTTTGGAATAGCCACTTTAATCATTATTCTTACCTTTAGGATGGGAAACCAAAAGAGGGGGGGGGGTAGTTGTGGACCATCTGGTACCTTTGTCAGCCCTCAATGTGTCCAAAATTTTTTGAGTGAAGAATAGTATTAGACAGATCTTTCATATAATGATAAAAAATAAAAATTCTATTGGACAGATTTTATTTTAGAATTTAAAAAGTGTCAAATTTGTGTGCATGAAAATGGCCAAATTGGTCGAATTTCAAATGTTCTACATGGATTATTCTCTTAATTTATATAAGTTCAGACAATCCATTGTTTAAATAAGTTAATAGTATCAATATTGTTTAAAAATAATTTTTAATATTGAATGCATATTGCACAATAAATTTTTTATGGGTAATAATTATCTTGTATTATGATTTTTGGAGTGACTGGAAAGGGGAGGTAACTCATTACCCCCTGGTTCCGTAATTTACCCACAATGCCATGTTCATATTTCGACTAAGTGTTCATTACACATCCCTTTACACCTTGTGAAAATTTCAACAAAATCTATTGACAGGTTTTTTGGGGGTCAGGTGTCCTTAGCTACCTTAAAATGAGTCCCAGCATCAATACTTGGAAGTTGCCACACTCTTCATGAGTATAAGAATTATTGGATATGCCTCAGTAACAGATCTATACTGGTACATGTAAATGAATGACACATTCAGTCGAAGCATTGTCCCTTTTTCGGTACCTCCTGGATCCCTGTAAAATATATGATGATAAAAGTAGATAAATGTTCCATCATAGAATGATGAATGTCCTATGGACCCAGTGAAGGCCTGTTGGAAGACACCGTTTGATTGTTCTAGCTGTGTCTGTCTCTTAGATGTAAGAGTACTAGTATTTCGGAAGGGGGTCATAAGGCTTTACAGTTAATATAAATTGACTGTACCTGTGTGTTGTTTAACGTCCTACAGTTAATATTGAAAATGAGTGTAATACATCCCTCTGTAAATTAAAAAAGTAACGTTGGACATTTTTATTTCTGAACTATTAACAAATTAAAGAAAAACATTCTATCCAGATTATGTTTAATCGACCCTGTATTCCCATGATTGATGAATTTGGTCACATGCATTTCCTATTTGTTTTAATTAAATTTGCATTCTACATGTATATCCCGACTTTAGCTGCCCCGTAAGCTAAATCAAGGCACGTAGCAACAAGAGGGTGGGTGGGTGCGCAACAATACCTCTTCTATAGAGAATGTGCATTGAATAGTTTGTTGCCCCCCCCCCCCCCCCCACTTCTTACCACAGTATAGAATAACATATAGTGATATCATGGAAATGTAGTATTTTATGCTATAAAAATTGGAAGTGAAAGGAATTTGGTCTTGAACAAAATTGGCCACTAACACATACCCCCTCCTGAAATAGGATTATCGAGTTTGGTCAACTTTTACTGGTAAGTATAAAAAACAAATCTCTCTGGTTGCGCCTCCCCCACTCCGCCCCTTTCAAAAACGATGCTATGTGCCTGAAATCAATATATGGAACCAATCTTTGGAGAACAATTTTATAGTTTGAAAACAATTTTAACTTACTTTTATGCTATAAAATACTCGTTACCCATTTGGAATAGCTTGTATGTACTGTATGTACGTAATTTACTAAAACAATAAAGCGATTAAACGTTGTTTACCTTTATCAATCAATCCATTTTCTCCTTCTTTTTCAATAATTAAAAAACGAACGACTTAACAAACATTACTTCCTGTTTCGCTTTCGTTTTCAACGGGAGAATTAATTATGTTATTTTAAGGGTGATTTGAAAAGAGATATCTCTTTCATTAAAAAAGATATCTCTTTAGCAGAGAAAGATATCTCTTTTTGAAAATCTATAGAGATATCTCTCTAACTAAGAGAGATATCTCTTTTAAACTTGTTAATGAGATATCTCTCTAACTTTAAGAGATATCTCTCTCGCTGAAAGAGATATCTCTCTAGCTTATAAAGATATCTCTCTCTCTCAAAAAGAGATATCTCTCTAACAAAAAGAGATATCTCTTTATCAAAAAGAGATATCTCTTTTGTTTAAAGAGATATCTCTATTAGTCAAAGAGATATCTCTATACGCTAAAGAGATATCTCTCAAATTGAAAGAAAAATATATTTTACGAATAAATAGTAAAAGGGCTTGCCATACGAGTGTTATACGCTGTATCAAAGATTCGGGGGTATATAGTTTTTGTCCTGTCTAGCTGTTTTTTGTTTTTGTCCGCTAAAATGTTGACTTTGTCCGACTATGGCTCTCTTAAAACTCACATGTGTATCCCTTGAGGACCTTTCTTTGGGTACCAACAAATTTGACCTTGTGACATTGACCTTGGAATTTGACAAAATTTTATACAAAAATACCGAACTCTACTTTGGTCATAATTTTCAACGGTTGCTGCTAGGACTTTAAAATCATCTTATATGTCAAAGGTCGTGGTTTGACAACCATAAACAACGACAAAAATTCTGTCTAAAATATCATGTCAATTGAACAATAAAGTAATTGAAATACTTTTTCATGCAGCATACGTATTTATAATTTTCTTTAAATCTATTCTGTAATTTCTGTTATTAGCTACTAGATCATCTAACAAATGAAAATTACAATTTTTTAATCGCTGCTTTATATCATACTGGTGATCTCAGTACATATCTCACTTTTTACATTTGATACATGACATGTATAAAAATTCAATTTGTCAGAAAAAAAAAGTCTCAAATCAACGTTTATTATTAGGCTGGAGTTAAAGGGCAATTTCCCTCTGCTCCAATTTTCACTATTTTTTT